ACAGTTTTGTTACTGTGGTTAATTTTAAATGCAACAAGATCATGCTCTGGTACTTGACACATCTCTGAGAGCAACATCATGACATTGTTGACACTGAATGTTCCCTAATGGCATTGGTTGCCAAACTCCAAAGTAAAATGAGTGGGACATAACAACAGCAGCTTTGTTTTAAAACTTCATTCAAGGGAGCATTTAAAATCTTATCAGGTCTTCCTGGCATGCTGGTGATTTGCAGACATGGAGGGTATCCAGTTTCCACTACTTGCCCACAAACTTCAGTGTGCAAGTCAAGTGCAGCTAAGTCCCCTGGGCAGGAAAACCCTGAGGTACAGTGTTGAAGTGCATATGTAAACAGAGAAACATCTGTCCTACCAGTATTATGGTACCTTATCGATCTAGTTCAAGGATTTATCTTCTGTTTTCCCTTTAAGTTTAAGCACAGTTATTGGGCTATTAATGTTTGTAAAGCAGTTGGAAAGACATTTTAGAGTAGATCCCTTTATCTTTTCACTCAGGATACTTACCATAAAATAAAATGAAAAACAAAGTTTTGTAAATACGTGTAGCCACCGCCAATTAATCAGCAGCCAATTGTCTATCTGCAAGGACATAATCAGAGAACAATTGGTCTTTGTCTAGCCTAGACAATTGTACTGCTTTAACTATTCTGGAATACTTAAAGGAATCTCTCTCTCTCTTTCCTTTTGGTCTTGGTGTGGAAAACTATGTTCTGTGCCACTTTCTCTCTAGTTGTGAAGTTGGAAATAGGAGTCAGCATCAGAACAGAAGTTGCATCTCTCTGTGCTGTTCTTTTCTCTCCTTTTCTCTGTGTGTCTTTTTTCATTTTGAAAGAATCAGGATCAGGCTACGATAATAGCAGCAGCACTGACAGCTCCAGGACATCTGAGTGTAAGAGGTGCCGTTGAAATAAAAATCTTACTTAACATTTTTAATGGTAGTGGGTTTACTGTGAGACCAAGTATCCCAAGCATTGAGAGCTCTTTACTCAAACACCTGAACTTGAAGTACAGACAGAAGTGACAATGTTTGCCCTATCTGGCCACAGAAAGCAGTTTATACCCATGACCAAACACAAGTGCACAGCTGCAGACTGTTTCAAAATGGCTGAATGAGTGAAAATCTGAACACTCGTTGCATGAGAGGTCCGATGAAGATGTTTCAAAACACCGCATCTTCTGTAACTTGTATCTGCCTCCCTGCCAGCCTGCAAAGCTTCCAGAATGGGAAGGGAAAAGGAAGTGGAGAGAGTTCGGTCTGGAGGTTTTTCAGTCCCCACTGGAGGATGAAGCAGGTGTATTGGAGTCCCCTGCTCCTCCCAATCCTACCCCCTGGTAGGTAGGATCCCCTCACCTCAGACTTGCCTCACAGAGGATCCTACCCACCAGTGCCCACTGAGCTTACGTTTGCTTTTCTAAAGTCCAGTGTCCTTATTCTGTTGCTTTTCTTTCTTCCTTTCTCCCATTAGGATCTTGAGGCCTATCATTTCATGATCACTGTCACCCAAGTTACCCTCCATCTTCACATATTCAACCAATCCTCTTTGTTTCTAAGCAGTAAATCAAGTAGAGATTTTACCTAGTTGGCCTCTCTACCTTCTGTATAAAAAGTTCCATAATTTACTATACTTCCAAAATAAGTTTATTAAAGTTTTCTTATAATCATTCTTTTAGACAATTTTATTTTTTGGGGCCTACCTTGATCCCTCAGATATCATCTAAGGATCCGCATGAGAGTTTAATCAAATATGAATTTAGCTGGATCACAATATGCATGAATTGACATTGGATAGAACCTGTTTCTCATTGTAGATTTATTCTGGAGGTACCTGCCCCCCCATTTAGGTTCTGTTCCTGATCTGTACTCTACCTGAAGATTTTTCTCTTCAGGCCTTTGATGTCAGGGCCCTTTATCATGATTGGAAGGCCTTTCTGCAATTTTTTCAATAGCATGTGTTTTCTTATCCTCCTGACATTATACTTGTCGTGAAATTAACATGTTAATCATGCCATAAATAGTAACAATGCTACATGTGCAGCAGATTTATGGTACCATAAAGTGGCAAAACTGCCACGAAGACATTCCACAAAATATGTGGTTTATTTGTATGGTATCACAGAATCGTAGAATCAAAGGACCAGAAGGAACCTGCATAATGATCAAATCTGGCCCCCTGCCATGGGCAGGAAGTTATTCGGCTCAAAAGAGCTCAACTAGGTGCTTATCCAGCCTCACCTTGAACACCTCCAAGGCTGGTGACTGCACCACCTCTGCTGGGAGCATGTTCCAGATTCTGGTAACCCTTATGGAAAAAATTTTTTTTCTTATGTCCAGCCTAAATTTTTCCTCTATTAGCTTGTGTCCATTGTTCCTCTCCCCTAGATCTTGATGTTCACCTCTAATGTACTTGTAGGCAACTATCAAATCACCTCTCAGTCTTCTCTTACTCAGACTGAACAGGCCTGGTTCTTGGAGTCTCTCCTCATAGGACCTTTCCTCCAGGCCCTTAATAGGATGTGTGGCCCTTCTTTGTACCCTCTTGAGCTTATCCACATTCTTCCTGAAGTGTGGTGCCCAGAATTGGACACAGTACTCCAGTTGTGGCCTCACCAATGCCAAACAGAGAGGGAGAAGCACTTCCCTGGATCTATCAGTATCATTAACTGAATGTGTAGCAACCTGCCCCATTCTGCCAATCATTGACAGAATTGGCATGGGGGAAGCAGTCAGCATCAGGACTAAGTCAGTCCTGCCCCTAATGCCAAAAGTTAACTGCCAAAGAAATGGGTTGCAAGATTCTCCAGTAAAGAGAGATGAGAGGCTTCTCCCTCTAGGAACCTGGCAATGTTATGCCCTGCAATACCTCTGCATGTAAGGCACTTTAAAATGTTAAGTCATGGGGGACCCCGGGGCTCCCTGTGATCCAGAAAGCTGACTTCATTGTCCTGCAGGGTCTGGGCAGTTTTTTGGGCTGGGCTGGGCTGCATATATGGGACCCTGGGATTAGAGACCTGATCCTGGGATTGCCATGCACCATGGTAGCAGAAAACTGCATGTGCAGCCCAGCTACACACATCATTTTAAAAGGTTCTGGGCTGTCAGAAAACCATGTGTGCAGCTGGACCAGTTGCACATGTGTCTTTTAGATGTCCACTGGGAATCTTGGAGTCAGGGAGAAACTTGGGGAGAGGCTTGAGGAAAAGATCCCAAGGTCTTGGTGGAGGAGCCCATAGATTTGCAGCCTTCAGGTTGGGGGAGCCCCAGGCTCTCTGCTAGTAGTGGTGCATTTGGGATGTGGTCCTCATTCCCAACAATTATGCCTCCTGCTATGCATGTATGACATGGCAGGAGGCACAATTGTTTGGATCAGGGATTAGATCCCATCTTGTTTTGGGGGAGCAACTCTTCACAGGAGAGGACCAATGGTCACAAGCTAATAGAGGGAAAATTTAGGCTTGACATAAGAAAAAAACTTTTTCTGTAAGGGTTACCAGAATCTAGAACACACTCCTAGCAGAGGTGGTGCAATCACCATCTGTGGAGGTGTTCAGCATGAGGCTGGATAAACACCTTGTTGAGCTCCTTTGAGCCCAATAACTAGCCTTCCAACTCCCTAAGAATATGCAGAAAGATAAAAATAGGGGAGCTACAAAAAATATGCTATACTGTCCCCACCATTCTAATCAAAGCATTGTTATAGCTTTTCAGTTGACCAGGGAATCACATAGGTTTTATCAGTGGTGCTCAACCTTCTTGGCTAGTGGGCCAAACAGCTAGTACTTAGGCCATCCAAAGTTCAGAGCCAGCTGGTGATCCCGATCTGGCATGGGACGGTCACAGGAGGGCCCTACTGGCCACCCAGAGGTGGACAGGGTGCAGCCTGATTCCAACTTGGCCCTATGGGGAAGAGGCAGGGGCATGGCTTGGCCCTGCAGGGGAAAGGGGCACGGCCCAGCCCCAACCCAGCCTCATGTGAGGAAAAGGTATGACTCTGACCAATCCAGATATGAGAGCAGAGGGTGGGCCATGACTTGGCCCCAGCCTGTTGCAGGAATTTGGCAGTGTTGGAGGGTGGCGATATTCATTGCCACTGCTCCCCTACTTACAAATTTCCCTGTCCATGAGGAGCCCTGGGAAGCAGATACATATGACTCTATGGGCTGCTTTTGACCTACAGGCTGGAGGTTGAGCACCCCAGGGTTACATCAACAATTCTATTTTGAGGTGACACTAAGGTCACCTTCAGCCATGCAGGCTGCCCCTGCTCATATATATATATTACTTTTCTGATCTGCATATATGAAGTAAACAAGAAAAGACAAGTAGTGGTCAGACTGATTCCTAGAAAGACTCAGTTTAAATTTCTTGTTTTCCTCTAGAGGACCCCTTCTAGGAATCACATACACTACTTGCGTCTCCACCTGTACTTTCATTATGGGCAGTAGAAGCAGGAGGTGGTATACAGAAGGGCCACTGGTGGGCATCTTGTTTAGCATCAATGAGTTCTGACTGTACTGTAGCCTCCATCTGGCTAGATGGAAGCCCAGCCTTGGATTCTGATG